TTGCCTTTGTTCATGATCATATTGGAGATATTAGTCTAGACCAGGAGCAGTCCCTTCTGACTCTCAAATTGTACTATACTTCAAACCCATTGTCATACCATGCTCCTCTGGGCTCCTCACATCTGGGCCCTGACCAGCTTGCTGACGTCATCCCCGTTGGTCTCCCCTTTGCTCACTCTGCCATTCTGGTCTTCTTGTTGGGCCTTGAACCTTATAAGCTCATTCTCATCTCAGAACCTTTGCACTTGGTTTTCCAGTGTTTGGAAAGCGTGTTCCTTGGATCTTCTCATGGTTCACACTTAACCTTCATTCATGGTTCTTCCTCAGAGTCCATCCCTGAGCATTCTGCCCCAAGCAGTTCACTCCATCCCTGCCTACCCTGTTACCTGCTTTGTTTTTCTTAAGCATGCTTAACATTACATGAAGTTGTATTATCTTGTACTTGACTATCTGCTCGTGATCAAAGTCCCTACACTCGAATGTAACCCATGGATGGGTGCAGGGACTTTGTCTTGTTGATGGCTGTAGTCTCAGCATCTGCGACAGTGCTTGGCATGTAGTAGATACTCAAACCCACTTGTTGAATACATGATTAAATGATGAATGAATGAATGAATGAATGAATGAATTGCAGACTTATTATAAAGTACATATCTTAAAAAAATCCTTAATTATTGACTTAGTTTCCAATTGTGTTATTGTGTTTTCTGTACTTGAATGAAATAGCATTTCTTCTAAAATGCGATGTAATTCAGATTTTTAATGGTCTTTTTTCTTTCTTTCTTTTTTTTTTTTTTTAAAGATGGGGTTTCACCATCTTGGCCAGGCTGGTCTTGAACTCCTGACCTCATGATCCACCTGCCTCGAACTCCTAAAGTGCTGGGATTACAGGCGCGAGCCACTGCTCCGAGGCTGGTCTGACCTTCTAAAACCTGTCCATTAGCATACTTTCTCCCAAGCCTTCCCCGTAGTATTCTAAATTGGTGAGGTTTTGCAGTAATATGTGGAAATAGGCTTTTACTTTTTATCCAAAACAGGAAATAGTTGATATTAATTATAATTTGATGACCATTATGTTTCTGTGGTAAGAAAGGGAGGGTTACAAAGAGCTGGGGTTCTATTTTCTGTTTTTAAAGGCTCTATGTAAGCAGAAGACATCCATTTGTTTACAAGGCTATCATAGGTGATTTTTACAAAAGCTATCTTTAGTTAAACCCCAGTACAGTAACTCAGAATTATCATCAAAATAAGTACATGATGAAAAACAGCACTCTGCCGGAAAAAAAAATTGAGAAAAATATATTTCCAAAAGTATTCAAGGAAAAAAAGATATTTATCTTTCTTATGAGAAATTCAGAGCAGGAAGGAAAATATTATTTTCATAACAGAAAGTATGCATTTAGTCCTAGACAAGCCTTTTTTTCTTTCAAAAGCTGGAAAGATTTTCAGCTGAAGAAAATTGACAACTTTGCTTCCAGGCGGAATTTTATAGTTTTTATCAGCAACAGCTGTGCTTATGATGGCCGTACATTGCCCTGAACAAATTTGAGATTAACTATAGAATTGGTGTTCTCAGAAAATTGCTTACAAAATGAACATTTCTCTTACAGTTTTGTGCAGCTCCAGGCCTAATGTCCTTAACTTCAAAAAATTACCTCAGAAGTTCTTTCTTTTATAGACAGAAGGTGATATAATCTGGTAAAATAGAATGTTCATATTGCTAAAGCTGTAATTTTCAACCTTAGCTGTGTGATAGATTCACCTGGAAGTTTAAAAAAAAAAACCAGTCAACAACCCAATGCCAGAGCTCTGCTCCAATCCCAATAAATCAAAGGTGGGGCCCAGAAATCTTGATTGCTATTAGATTTTGATTATTTGACAGGTGGTTCTCATTTGTCTCTTGAGTCCTTGTCATGGTGTGCAACGGATCCACCTGGATGGGGCTTTCCGATGGGGATACTCACCTATGCTGCCCCCAGGCCCGGGGTCTGCAAATCCCTGGGCTGCAGACGGGTGCTGGTCCAGTCCGTGGCCTGTTAGGAACTGGGCCGTACACAAGAGGTGAGTGGTGGGCGAGGGAGCACTACCGCCTGACCTCCACTTCCTTTCCGGTCGGCAGAGGCATTTGATTCTCGTGGGAGTGTGAACCCTATTGTGAGCTACACGGGCAAGGGATCTAAGCTGCAGACTTTTTATGAGAATCTAATGCCAGATGATCTGAGGTGGAACAGTTTCATCCTGAAACCATCCCCCGCACCCATCTGTGGAAAGATTGTCTTCCGCAAAACTGGTCCTTGGTGCTAAAAGTTTGGGGACTGATTCCCTAGGCCAAATTGGGAAGACAGTTAAGATTTCCTTCATTCGCTCATCTGCCTTTCTCTTGTGCTTTTATCCTCTCTGGGCCTGCAGTTTGGCTATCAGTTAAGCTATTCCTTGCTAAAAAATTATTCCACACAGCTCTCACCCTTTCTAATGTACTATTACCTCTTCCCCGCTCCTCCCAAAAGGAACCACACTATGTAATGCAAAAGAAATACAGAATGCTGTGTAATGTAGCCGGTGAGTTAGAAGTACAATTGAGGAAAGGTAAGGAGGAAAGAGTCGTTGGCTTCTATCAGGTCACTTTTGGTAAACAATGGTCTACTCCAAAGGGAAGTTCTGCTAGGTGACTCTGGCAACTTACTTAACTTCATCTTTAAGATGGGGATGATATTAACACTGACCCACAAAATCATCATGAGGATTAAATGTGTAAAACATTTAAAGAATGCCTGGCCCACAATAAACAGAACATGCACATTGGCAATTATTTTTTATAATTATTACCCCCTTTAAAATCCTTGAATTCATAACTGCATTAAGAAGAGTTCTACATGGAGCTGGCAAAATAAACAAAGAAGGCATTAGGATTGATTTTCTTTTGAGGCTTACTCACTCTGATAGCGTTTCAAAAAATATTTTGAGCTATGGCATTCTCATTGGCAAATACACATAGTTCCTGTATCCCAAGGCAATGCTTAATTTAGGCCATTCATTTAGATATATAAATACCAACAGCTCTTGGGGAAAAAAAGTTATTTTCTTTATTGTATAATCAACCTTGTCTATCTAAGACTCCTGGGAAATGATGGAAATGAGGGTGAGCAACTACATAGCTGGAGAGAAACAAGTGTCTCTCTAATTGACTAGTCAACACATTAATTAATTCAGCAAACATTTAATGATAAACTCTTTGCCAGCTGTCATGCTAGGAAGCAGGAATACCACAGGAAGAAGACATGGTTTGTGCCCTCATGTAGCTCACAGTTCATTGAGCATATAGAAGGGGGTTTTGTGAAATTAAATTTCAAGTCACAGTAGAATGGTGAAGATGGACCTTTGGCGCCACTGTTTTTAGTGTTCAAAGTTGTCCATCCCACTTTCTGTTTTTTAAGCCTTCCAGATTGACCACAATAAGTGAGGACACCATGAAAATGGGTTGGATTTGTTTATTCTCTCAAGAATCTCATTTTTTTCGAGAAGGTTGGCTAGTCAAACAATGTATGTATTCTTTTGGTGGAAATATGCTTGTTGCCTACCACAGAAAAAGTAAGAAGAGTACTCACAATAACTGGGAGTAGATATGGCCAGGGGTAATCTAATAGCCTTTTGCCCTTGGAAGAAACATGTATTTTTATTGCCTGACATTTCAGCCTTGTTATCTTCTTAGTGATTGATGTGAACGCATGGAATGTCAATTTCAGGTGGTGTTTTCCCCTATTTTTTTCTCTTTTTGGAAGCTTCCCATAGAAGGCAAAAAAGAAAGGTCTTTTTATTTTGCTTTGTTTTAAAGCTTTACTAAATTCTTGGGAGCTTCTGGATTGCTTAAAACTTTTTTTTGGATTATGCTAAACATGGAGCTGCATTTTACACAAAAGTTCTTAAAAATTGTCCCAAAAGCTAGTTTTTATAAGTGGGATAACTTTTGAATTGAACATTTATAAGATTCCTTTTAAGGAGCTCTAAAATCTACATCATAATCTAAGAAGTCTGAATTTTGAACTTTAATTCACAATGGATCTTGCACACTTGACATTAAAGTGACCTAAGTAAACTTAGTGTTTAATGTAGCATTACTGTGACTTTCCTTTAGAAACTCACTTTTATTTATCTCCAGTCCACTTTCTTATTTTTATTTTTTTGGGAAATAGCATTTTTTACTTTTGAGACAGAGTCTCATTCTGTCACCCAGACTGGAGTGCAGTGAAGTGATCTTGGTTCATTGCAACCTCTATCTCCCGGGTTCAAGCAATTCTCTTGCCTCAGCTTCCCCACTGAATAGCTGGGATTACAGATGAGCACCACCATGCCTGGCTAATTTTTGTATTTTTAGTAGAGACAGGGTCTCACCATGTTGGCCAGGCTGGTAACTCCTGACCTCAAGTGATCTGCCCTCCTCTGCCTCCCAAAGTGCTGGGATTACAGGTGTGAGTCACTGCACCCGGCCCATCTATTTGTTTTATAAAATCTAATTTTCCTTTTAAAACCATGGTGAGGTGGCAAGTCTCAAAGATGGACCACATTCATGCCCTTGTGTAGTCCTCTTCTGTATTAACTGCAAGCTGGCCTATGACTTTAACCAACAGAACCTGTTGGAAGTGATGCAAAGCCAAATCTACGACTAGCTTTTAAGAATACTGGCAACTGGGCCGGGCGCGGTGGCTCAAGCCTGTAATCCCAGCACTTTGGGAGGCCGAGGCGGGTGGATCACGAGGTCGAGAGATCGAGACCATCCTGGTCAACATGGTGAAACCCCGTCTCTACTAAAAGTGCAAAAAATTAGCTGGGCATGGTGGCACGTGCCTGTAATCCCAGCTACTCAGGAGGCTGAGGCAGGAGAATTGCCTGAGCCCAGGAGGCGGAGGTTGCGGTGAGCCGAGATCGCGCCATTGCACTCTAGCCTGGGTAACAAGGGTGAAACTCCGTCTCAAAAAAAAAAAAAAAAAAAAGAATACTGGCAACTTCCATTTCCTTCTCTTGGGACAATTGTTTTTGGGGTCCCTGGGCTTATATGAGAGGAATCTCTGCAGTGTCCTGCTAAAGAAATCATGTGAAGATGCGCTGAGACTATATGAATAGGGAGCAAGGTCCAGCTATCTCAGTGTCCTAATCGGGACTCCAGATTACTCCAGTCCTAGTTGTCCAAACTGTAGTTCAATTTCAATAATATGAAGGATTTCAAAAGGGAACAGCAGAAGAACCACCTAGCTGAGCTCAGCAACCCACAGAAAAGTGAGATGATAAATGGCTGTGGGTTAGTCCCTATGTTTTGAGGCACTTAGTTAGGCAGCAATAGCACACATAACAGGCTTGTTAATGATAAGACTCTAAAGATATCATTTCTTTTTACCAAAGTGATTTGCTTTCCTCAAAGTAATTCATATATCAGTTTGAAAGATTTTGAGAGTAAAGGAAACTTTCAATGCACTCAGTATCTAGATTAATGAATAGCATTCTTATTCTCTATCAAAAAACTCATCAAAAAGTGGGATTCTCTCTGTCCTGGTCCTCACCAGTGCTCGTGGCTTCTTCTCATCTTTCCTCAACTCATCTGAGTCAGAGCTGGAACTGTCCCAGAGAAGCCGTCCCTGGGTCTCTTGTTCATGAAGCCATGTTTCCATTTTGCCAGTTTTCCAGGGACAGTAGTCATTCACTGATGGATGTTTAAAAAATTGTGCATTCTGTGAATTTCCTACAAAAAACATAAGTTTATTTAATTTAATTTTTCCCCAGCAATGATTTATTTATTTATTAAGTGTCTAGCTTAATAAACAGTCTGCTTGGGCATTTTTCAAACGATATATACATAGTTTGGAAAATTATTTATATATATAACTTGAGTTACATATATATATATAAATACATATATATATATGAATTCAACTGGTGTCTCTGTAAGCATGAAACATTGTTTTAGTTATTTTTCAAAAGATTTAAATCTTCCAGAAGTCACAATAATATATCCAATACATTAACATTTTGCCACCATATTGCTTTTATCATATAAATGCATCAAAAAATTTTATATATATATATGCATGCTTTTCAACTGAACCATTTCACAATTAGTTGCAGTCACCTCCCCCTAAATATATCACTACAAATCTCTTAAGACCAAGGGCATTTTCTCTACATAACTACAATACAATTATTACACTTAAGAAATTTAACATTGATAGAATTTTCTAATATTTGACCTATTTTCTAATATATGGTCTATATTCAAATATCCACAGTTGTCCACAATAATGCCCATTATAGCTGCTTTTTATTTGCTGTTTAAGTTTTATTTTTTAGATCCAGGAGCCAATCTAGCATCATACATTGGATTTTATTTTCTCATCTCTCTTTCCTTTAATTGAAGAATACTCTTCTACCCTTTTCTTCTCTCTCTCTCTCTCACGATCTCTGTGCCCCATCACTCCTCTTTTGTCTCCCATCCATCTTCATTATCTTTTTCATTTTTCCTAATGCTGACATTTTAAGGAATCCAGGTCAATTATTTTGCAGAATGATCCTAAATTTCAGCTTACCTCATTGTTTCCTTATGATTAAATTGAAGTTAAACATTTTGGGCAAGAATATCACACAGGTGGCATTGCCTAGTGTTTTTTATTGAACATCTACTATGTACTAGACACATAATGTGTACTTCTGACATGCACATCGACTCTGGCTTCATAGCAGAATCACCTGTGCAGGCTTTTAGAAACGGATGTCTAAACGGTACTCCATACCCATAGTACTGGGAAGTTCACTGCGTCAGGCATTCTATTTTACTTTATATTTTTTATTAAAAGCAACCATTTATTTTTAGTTTGGGATTTGATTTATGTGCATCTGTATTTACCTTAGCTTTTTATTTAAGCAGTGCCTAGCATCCTTTATAATGCACTCCAGAAAGCAACAGGAGCTTTGTTCAAGGAAAGCTGGCTTTTAAGAAAACAAAACCTTCCCAACCATTTTGGAGCTAGAACAATAATCCTAGGTGAAAGCCCAGAGTTTCCCACTAGACTGGTTGAAACGACCATAACTTTTTAGGTGTCTTCTTAATGATAATTGTTTATTACAGGCATCCCTAAACTACGGCCCGCGGGCCGCATGCGGCCCCCTGAGGCCATTTATCCGGCCCCCCGCCGTACTTCAGGAAGGGGCACCTCTTTCACTGGTGGTCAGTGAGAGGAGCACAGTATGTGACGGCCCTCCAACAGTCTGAGGGACAGTGAACTGGCCCCCTGTGTAAAAAGTTTGGGGATGCCTGGTTTATTAAATCTTTTGGCAGAGTTTATGTAAGCCCTTGATACCTGAAGTTGTATACTATTATATAAGAAAATCTAGCATTTCTTTTTGCCCTGTGCAGTGCATCATATTTTAGAAAACTACTTTATTGAACTATGATTGACATACAAAAGCTATACATATTTAATGCACACACCCTGATGTGTTGGAAATAAGCATTTTAATGTGAGAATTCACGCCTTGTGATGTGATTTGTCGGGCCTCAGTGAGAGGCTATCAGCTTTTCCCCTTGAATATTATTATAGTGATTGTAGTTGCCTCTTTAGATAGCATGGGCAGAGAACCACGTTGATTTCTCTCTGCAGCCCTGGTCACTCTCCTAAGCTACAAAGGATGTTTTGTAAAACTGGACACCTCCAGTTGGATGTCTACTTGGCAATAATGCAGCGTCACCTTCTCTCTCACAAAGCTGCTTCTGCTCCCAACTACCCTAATTCAGCAAATGGTACTGCCTTTACTCCATTCTCTGCCTAATTCTTCAAGAGAAACCCAGAAATCCACCTGGCCTCCTTCGCGTCTCCATGCCCGCACATCTAACCTGTCACAGGATAATTCTGATCATGTTGTTTTCTAAAGACCTTACGTCTGGCTGCTTCTCTCCTTCCTCATCGTGACCCTACTCTCCTGGTCCCAACATCATCTCCCACTTGCGCTTTTGCTGTGTCTTTATAATTGTTCTTCTTTTATCCTCTTACTTTCCCCTCCCACCTGTTCTCCACAGTCTAAACAGAGTGATATTTAAAAATATGAACCTGCTTTTGTCACTATCTTGCCTTATCAGTGGCTTCCCATTGATCTTCAGATGGAGTTTAAAATTATTCTCTGACATGGCTCACAAGGCCCTGTGTGATTTGGCTCTGCCCATGTCTTCGGGACCATTTCCAGTGACTCTCTGAATCTCTCATCCACCTAGAGTCCGTCGTGCTCCTTCCCGCTGCAGGGCTTTTGCACGTGCTGTGGTTAATTACCATTATGAACATTCCAGCACCCACGGTCCTCACACTCACATGCCTTCCTGCCTCCTTCATCCAGCCACTTCTTATCTCAGTGTAAATGTCCCTTCCTCATGGAAACATTCCCTGACTCCACAGGTACTAGGTCTGCCCGTTATGCTCTTGTTAAACATATCTTCGTTAAACATCTCTATCCCAGCTCCACAAACCAGGAACCACATCTACCTGACTCATCACCATACAATGAAACTACTACACAATGCCCGGCTCTTGGTATGTGCTAAATAAATACACGGTGAACAAATAGATGAATAAACGAACGAACAAACGACCAATCAGAGAATTTTGGGAGATGGGCAGTGTTGGTAACGAGGACATAGGGAAGGCCCCGTTCACTGGGGCTCTGGAGTGCAATCATCTCTGCTCTGCAAATAAGTCTAGAACTACCAGAGGCATCACTCAGACTGGGAACAGGAATTTTCTAGAACATCCAGCTGTAGGCAGGAGCTCTGAAACAAAAGAGCATGTTTGTGGTGGGATCTAATGAAATATTAATGATAGCCTGAGTCCCACAATACCCTTGATGTTTTGAAAATTCAGGTCTAATGTATGAGACAAAATTCAAATATTTAGTTTCATCCTTGAAAATCAATCCCTTGTCACTCATAAAGTATTACATACATTGTTTTGTGTATATAGCATTAAAATTTGAGAGCAGTTGAGCTAGACTTCTGGTAGCTTGTTACATTTTCATAAATCCTTGTTTACTTCTCTGTGGTTTATAGACTTCAAAAAATAAAAACACAGTCTTTAAAAACCTAAATGGGTTTCGGGTGAGCTGAGTAAAGGAAAGTGTAGCCTACTCCAAAACTGATTTAGGACCAGAGGAAAGCAACAGATGTCAGTGGGAAAAATAGGAAGTGATGTAGGTAGTAAAAGAATCACATAAAGCAGGAAAACTGTTTGATGGCTGTGTATTTTATAATATGTGTTTCAGAAAAATGTATCACTACTATGTCAAACCCAGAATTTCACATTCAGAGCTATATTAAAAAATAAAACAAAACAAGATTCTTTATAGAAAGACGGTGCAGGTGGCCAGATAAGACCAGAATTTTGAAGGTGACATTTAAATAATGGATGCAGAGTGACACATCCCCAAAGCATATGAGGGTTTTCACTATAAAACATCAATTCTATCCTTCTTCAGATTTGTCTATGTTCCCTTACATTTGTATAGCACTTTACTTTTTTTTTTTTTTTTTTTTGAGACAGATTCTCTCTCTGTTGACCAGGCTGGAGGGCTGTGGCATAATCTCGGCTTACCACAACCTCCACCTCCGAGGTGCAAGTAATTCTCCTGCCTCAGACTCCCCAGTAGTTGGGATTACAGGCATGTGCCGCTACTCCTGGCTAATTTTCTGTATTTTTTATAAAGACAGGATTTCACCATGTTGGCCAGGCTGACCTCGAACTCCTGACCTCAGGTGATCCACCCTCCTCAGCCTCCCAAAGTGCTGGGATTACAGGCATGAGCCACGGCCTATAAAGTGTCCAGCCATACATTATGTTTTACATGTGCTTTCATTCATGTTGATTTTTACAAAAAACTTACATGGTATGTAATACTTTATTCCCATTTTACAGATGTGGAAACTGAGGTTCATGGAGGTTAAATAACTAGAATTTAGCTATATTCTTTCTCTCTTGAGAATAAAATTATATAGAAAAATATACAGTTAATATTTATTGAGCGGCTATCACATGTCAGGTACTATTCTAGGAACAAGAAAAGGTCCCTGCTTTCATGGAGCTTACATTGAGTAGATGCACTGCTGGGGCTCAGGGAAATGCTTTGAGGTCAGTTGCAGTGCTCTTCCCACCCACGATGTTCCTTCATACCAGGGCTTCAGCAAAGGGTAGGAGCCACATAAACACATTAAAACTCACAGACTTGCACACCAAGAAGGGTGACGTTCGCTATGTGTTTGTTATATATAATTTGTGTCATATGACTGCGTATGTAATTTATTAGATGAACGTATGTAAAATACATGTAAAGCAAAGGTGATTTCATTTCAAAGATGCCATAGAAAGCAGAGACGGACTTTTATCTCACAAGAGAACCACAACGCTCATTTCACCTTTCAACAGGGGAACAAGAACGGGCGAATATGACATTAAGCAAGAGGAGACTGCTGCAGAGAAAGCTTAATGACCAGACGCTGATAGTAGAATGCTTATGTAAGTGCATGATCTTAGCTACACTTCACTTGTAGGAGAAACTGAACTACTTTTAGAAGGCAGGGAAGGAAATCAAAGAAGCTCTCTGGGAATAAGTAAAAAGGAATCACCGCTAGGATAAATGCCAAGCACAGAGGTGAAGACTGTCGGCTCAGGAGTCAGCTGCCCTGTCTCCTGAGTCACGTGCATCCCAGAGCAGCTTCACTGTTCATTGGCTGCTATGACCTTGCACGTGAGATTTGACCTCTCTGGACCCAGTTTCTTCATCTGTAGAAGAGAGGTGGTAATAATTTTCACCTTGTAGAGTTAATATGAGGATTAAATGATGCATTTAAAATTCTTAGAAGCACTTTATAAATACTAGTTGTATTCATTGTTATCCAGATATCCTACACTTTACATGTACAGTGAAAGCGGAAGCACAGAACAGAAAGATATCCTTCATAGGCACTGGAATTTCTCCATCATCAAACAAATTTCCAGTGATATTTGCCTTCTCTTTCCAACAACTTCAGTAATAGGCAAGTGAGTTGATACAGACATGTCATACTGAGAGTCTAGTTAATTATGATACTGTTATAACAGAAAGAGTTAAAATTCTCTATCTCATGCTAGCAAAATCCACATTTTCTAGGCTCGTTTTGTCATATGTATCTACACACACACACATATACACACACACAAGAATTGTTACAAAGAAAAAGGTTCCAATAAGACTGAAGTGTTGAAAGAGCTCTCAAGGGTTATCTAGTCTGCCTAAGTTTGGCTAATGTTCAAAATCACTTGAGGAACTCTTTTTTTTTTTTGAGACGGAGTTTCGCTCTCGTTGCCCAGGCTGGAGTGCAATGGCGCGATCTCGGCTCACCGCAACCTCCGCCTCCTGGGTTCAGGCAATTCTCCTGCCTCAGCCTCCTGAGTAGCTGGGATTACAGGCACACGCCACCATGCCCAGCTAATGAGGAACTCTTAAAAATTAAAATTCTTTCACCTTCAACCTAGAGATTCAGATTCAGTAAGATGAAGATGGAGACAGGACTGGGTGTTTCTTTTGTTTGATTGTTTGTTTTGAGATGAAGTGCTCTGTCGCCCGGGCTGGAGTGCAGTGGCATGATCTTGGCTCATTGCAACCTCTGCCTTCCAGGTTCAAGCGATTCTCTTGCCTCAGCTTCCCGAGTAGCTGGGATTACAGGCATCCGTCACCATGCCTGACTAATGTTTGTGTTTTTATTAGAGATGGGATTTCACCATGTTGGCCATACTGGTCTTGAACTCCTGACCTCGGGTGATCTGCCCACCTTGGCCTCCCAAAGTTCTGGGATTACAGGTTTGAGCCACCATGACTGGTTCTAACACTGGGTGTTTTGGGGAAGCTCCTCAGGTCCTTCTGCTTATATCTGAGCTTTTGTGCACTACTGATGCAGCGGCACCTTCCTGCCTGGCACCTGAATTGGTTCCTGCCTGAGTTACTCCGCCTATCCCCCCTTCTCTATGCTCTGTCACTTCCAGGAGAATATGCGCTCCGAAGTCTACCAGCTGCTTTGACTTTCCTTTCAGAAGTCTCAAAGTGCAGCCGTCTCTTGAAAATAAGGTCAAGCAGTCACAACCCCTACATTTGCAAACTTTTCCAAAACTGTCCTTGATAGAGTTTCTGGCCCTTGGTGTGCTGGTGGGGCTGTGTGGAAGTGCAGGTCAAGAAGACCTGGCCTTGAATCCTGCTCTATCACACTGGGGCGAACAGTAACTCCTACCTTCCAGGCTGTGTGAGAATTAAAAGAGAATGCGTATTAAAGGCAAACTACAGTACCTGACTGATAGTAAGCACTCAACGAACCTTAGCTTGAACAAAATGAAGCAGCTTTAAGAAGCAGCAGGAGAGCAGAGGAAAACTCCTTTCTCCATGTGCCAGTTTCTCCTTCATCCCCTCCAGGTCTGAGACATCTTCCAAGGACTTCGCCAATGCTGGTTTTTCTTGGCCTGCTCTCAAGTGATGATTCTTAAGTGTCTAACTTTAGCTGAGGCTTTTTTTTTTCTTGGTTATTTTGCATATGTTTTTTAAGGTATTGTTTAAATGGTAAAAATTGTTTATGTGACTACAAAGCATATTTCTTTCTGAGACCTGGGAGTATATGTTAAACAGATGCCCCAAGTAGATTTTCAATTATTCAGCCCTTTCTTATTTAAAATTAACATATTGATTAAGCATCTGGTTTCTTCGAGCAGGAGCAGTGTCTCTTTTCAGCAGGCAATTTTGCATCTTGGAAGCTCAAGACTTCCAGAGACGTAGCCAGCTTTTCTGTGGCTCTCTCAGTGGTCAGTCCGTCCTGCTCATGTGGAGATGTGGCCCACAGCACAGCCATCTATGTGTGTGAACAATATTGGAAATTTCAGCTGTGGGTTTGCCCTGGGGAAATACAAACAAGGGAAACTTAATGGGGCTCTAATTGGTGGGGCAATGCAGCCTAGAAGTTGTGGACAAGCCTGTCCGTTAGAAGAGCGATCTGAGAGTGTAGAACAATTTGGCCCAGCTGAAATGTGGGAGCTGGCTGTGAGAGCGGCAGAAGATGAAGCTAGAAAGGCTAGGTAGGTCATGACTAGATCCTGAAAGGTTTAGAGTCCCATGCTGAGTTTTTTATTTAATTTTTTTTTTTTTTGAGACAGGGGTCGTGCTATGTTGCCCAGGCTAGGTTTTGAAGTCCGGGCCTCAAGTGATTCTCTCACCTCAGCCTCTTGAGTAACTGGGGACTACAGGCATGAGTCACCACACTTAGCTCCGTGTTGAGGAGTGTAGATGTTGTCTTCAGGCTGACAGAGAATCATGGAGGATTTTTGTTTTTCTAAAAAGGAGAGTGACGTGGTCAGATTTGAATTCCATAAGATGACTCTGATATTAGTGCAGTGCTTCCAGAACTTTGGCGTGCATGAGAATCCTCTGGCAATCTTGATAAAATTCAGGTTCTCATTCAGTAGGTCTGGGGTACGATCTCCAGTTCTGCCTTTCCTAATAAACTCCCAGGTGATACTGATGCGGCTGGTCTGCGGTAATACTTTCATCGTCGGGTAGAGTTAAGAATCACTTGGGCCGGGTGTGGTGGCTCAAGCCTGTAATCCCAGCACTTTGGGAGGCCGAGGCAGGTGGATCACGAGGTCAAGAGATCGAGACCATCCTGGTCAACATGGTGAAACCCCGTCTCTACTAAAAATACAAAAAATTAGCTGGGCATGGTGGCACGTGCCTGTAATCCCAGCTATTCAGGAGGCTGAGGCAGGAGAATTGCTTGAACCCAGGAGGCGGAGGTTGCAGTGAGCCGAGATTGCGTCATTGCACTCCAGCCTGGGTAACAAGAGTGAAACCCCGTCTCAAAAAAAAAAAAAAAAAAAAAAAAAAAGAATCACTTAAAGTTAAGTGTTTCTTCAACGTTAAGGGCATCACAATCACCCGGAGGGGTGGTGAAACCCAGAATCAAAAACTTTTGCAGTTTTTGATTCAGTCACTCTGGCTGGGGCCCTAACAGGTTCCCAGGTGATGCTGATGCTGGTGACCTGGTGACCACATGGAGAGCTATTGAAGTGAAGGGTTGATTGATGAAGAGTAAGACCCAAGGGGAGGGGCCCAGTCAGGAGACTATGGCTGAAGTCCTGGTGTAACAGAACCAGGGCCAGATCTAAGGCACTGCTACTGGGAGTGGAAGAGAAAGGGCAGATTTTACTCCTGGTTGACATCAGCAGGGCTTGGTGACTGACATTGGAGGCCTTGTCCACTGAGCCAGTAGATCAGCAGGAAGAGGATGCTTGGGGGGGCAGTGATTGATTCTAGAAGTTCTGAATGTGCCAAAGAGGGTTGACCTGCAGGGAAAACGGTGGAGTCGGGGAGAGAAGGGTCTGCGTATGGTACCAGCCCTGCTGAAGCAAATTTGCCCTGTGACTACAGGCAACGTATATCCACGTGACTCATTCTGTTTAACCACAAGATCAGGCTATTTTGCCTTTTCTCCTTCTAGGGTTGAGGCAAGGCTTGAAATGATGCTTGCAAAGCATATTAAACCCGTAGAAAGAAAGAGACATTTAATTACTGAGCTTAAGCTTCTGTCTTCTCCTCCCAGCCATCCAAAATTACATGACAACATGCCCACTATATTCTGGGAAGTAAAAATCTCAGCAAGAACTCAAAGCTGTTTGCTGTCTTCTCGCCAGGCCCCCTCCCTCGGTAGTTTATCTGATCAAGTTTTAAAAACTCTTGAAATAGTCTACTAAAAAAACGTACCTGGCTCACCGGGACCTCTGTTCAAGATTTCATCAGGCAACATGGTTAGAAGGTGATGGGCATCATTCCTTGGGGTGCTTTGAAGGATTTTCTTGGCTTTATGGTCCTTTGGACTTTGCTTATTAATTCTTGCCTCCCCATGAAGACTTTCCTTTAACTCCATTTGGGCCTGAAAATCATCAACCATAAATGACCATGTTCTTCCCAAGCTACTTTCACCAGAATAAATCAACAGATCAGCCACTTTGGAAGGTGTAGACATCTGCAGTCTTCTAACCAGAACATGGTTTTCCTTTTCCTATTAGAAGGTATAGGAACTTTCTTTATTGACAGGCTTATTAGGAGAAAGGTGAGTATGCCCAGTCTCAAAAGGTATGGCTCAATTAGGATGAGGACCCTTACAAAAATGTGTTTCTGTAGGCTAGCTGGTATGACTGGAGTTGCAGAGAGCAGTAACTAAAGACTCATTTCCTAGAGGGAGGAATTTGGAATATGACAGTTACAGGCATTACTGGTAAAGGGGTTTTGTTAAAAACCGTCTTTCTTGTTAGGTAATTCTATGGCATGAATTCTAGAGAGAGGCCTAGAATGAAGTGTGTCAGAATGAAGAACTCACCCCCTCCCCCTTTCGCTAAACCAAGAAAAATGGTCTAGCCCTATTTCCCTATGTCCAGAATGTCATAGGAGCTGTTTTTAAAACTGTTGTTAAAAATGGAGATTTGAGACAGCCAGATACATCCTTGACAGGACCGAAAGCTTAGAAAAGACTCAACAAGGTTATTAGCAGAAGGAATCTTCCTGATTCTTCTCAGCTTTGGTAGTTGAACTTTCAACCTCAATGACTACATTGAAAGTGCTAAGTCAAGACTGGCTCTCTATGCTTGATATACTCATGTGTCAGGGCAGTGATTATGTGATGAAAATTTGGTAAATATAACACTCTTTTCTCTTCTCATATTTACCTCTTGTCTTTTACGGATCATTTCCAGCATTTGCATCTTATGCAAATATTGTCTGTTCTCAGAAGCGTACATTGGAACCTGCATTTTCTTTTCCAGTACCTGCTATGAAAGACAACACACTTGTTGTATGGGGTAATTTGTTACTGACTCTGCAATTCACAAGCTTAGATCCTTTTTGAAACAGAGTGAGATCTTTATCAGTCATAACCCAGAGAGATATCCTGTGATGGCAAAAGCGGACCTGACAAGTCCTTTCTGTCACTACCAAGGAATGAAGTGGCTCTTTGATGTGTATACATGTAGTTTTTAAGGTTGCTATAGAGTTTTATAAAGCTTAAGTGGGAATATCTTTCCATGTCTCATTTTTGATAAGATATCACTTCCCTTGTAAACAGATACTTACTGTAATCTCCCTAGAAATGTGTTCTGGTTTGAGGAAACCTTTCTTTTTCTCCCTGCCTCTTCTACCATTGACTAATTGGCTGGCTATGAAATGAGAGCGAACCCACTGAATGGTGAAATGGAATCTATTTCTACAGAGTGCATTTCCATATGCCAGCCTAAGCTTTGGAGAATATTGCAGTTTAGGGAGGATTTGAGGTTTTTTGTGACTCTGCATGTCTCCCTGCCGGTGCCTCATAAACTCCTTGGGGCAGTGCAGAAATGGTTACTGAGGGCAGCCTGAGGTGAACATATCTTCATTTGTCATTTGCTGTCGCCAGGAAAGGTGATGTGTTAGGTGGTACCTTTTGAGTTGCCGTGTGGATAGTGACTGTCAGCTGATGTGAACTCAGGGAGGGGCCATCTCCCCAGATGCTGTCAGCATCACAAACATGGCCTTGAGGACCTGACTGTCCCTGAACATCTTCACCAAGTTAGCCAGCCACACAGCAGCAGCTAGCTAGCTCCAAAACCAATTAGAAGTGGAAAGTGTTGAAAATCTGCTTCTACCTCCCAGCTTTCCTTTCTGCGTGAGGGGAGTTCTAGTCAACAGAGCATTACAAGTGCATAGCAGGGAAAAGATATACAGAAGACATTTCCCAGGATTCCTTTTTGGTGAGGTTGTGGCAAATAAATGAGAAATAACTTGCAGATAAGATTTCTCCTGCAAACTGAGAACAAAGAGCAAGTTTTAAATTGAGGGGAGGAATGAAAGGGAGGCCTTATGCCGAATTTTTCACAGACTTGAAAACTTTCAGAATCAACAATTTCTAGGTAAAAGTCTTCTCTCATCCACAATGCCATTTTCAACACAAAGCAGGAAAGGGCGCAGAATTCATGCAAGAGGTAAAAGCCACTGCCAGTTGGAGGCATGCATAGAAGAGAATAAACAGCTTTGAAAAGTTCTTACTCTGAATGACTTAACAGTTTGATTTGTCTTTGAACTTTTCTGTGCAGAGACTGCTTGAAAGGATCAGCGTGCTCCAGTGCCCCAATCCTGCGTCACCCACCTTCAGTTCACCTCCCTGTCAGGTTACTGCTGCAGCTCACCTTTGCTTTGTACATTGTCCTGGCTTCTCGCTGGCTCAGGAGTCTTCCCGAAGTAATTACTCGTGGCAAGTCAATGGGTTCAAGCCTCTAGAAGTTCAACGTTTAGAGCAGTCAGCATTCCTCATGCCATGAGATGATGAAACACAAAAGCCAGGCATTAAACTATCTTAACACTTTGCAAAAGCAGCACTTATTTCTGAGAGCATACAGGAAAGGTGATTCCAACAGCTTTACAGTTATATTGGTGCAAAAGGCTTTTCAACCTATCTGGGTTCTTTATTGTTCTAGTATACTGTCTCCAGTGCCTTATTGATCTAAATGTTGGTCAGAGAGTTAGGAGACTAGGAATCTTCTTCTGTCTGCATTGAGGGACCATGTCCAAAGTTATCAAACCACCAGAATCTTAGAATATTAGCGACAAAAGAGGCACTAGTAAGTTATTTTATTTTACACATCCCTTAGGTACCCAGCTGAAGTATTCCAACACTTAGGGAAGCAATCTGTTTTAAAGATCCCTAGAGAACCTTTTTGGTACTGATTACTGGTGATTACGAGACACATTTAAAATGAAAGTGCAGTATGCTAACACGTCTTAGAGCTGTCTTTTTCTAGGAGGGACTTGGCTTGATAGAGATCATGTTGGTGTTTCAGGGGGTCACTAGGACTGGGCAGCAATCCATGTCAACAGGTCTGCCTCCAGCCCTTATTGCCTTAGAAACTGAGTACTGAGAAGTGACCAAGCAGATTTGGGAGACAAAGGCTGGTCTCTTTACATTGACATGCAGTGGGGAACGTGGAGTTGATCTGTTCCTTCAGTGACTGCTGCATGCCAGACATGGGGATGCAATGGTCAGCAAAAAAGGATATGGCCCCTCATGGAGTTTGCAATCTATGCATAATAGATATTCTTTTGCTCGTGTGATTATTCAAGTGATAATTACAAACTGTGGTTAGTGCTTTGAAGAAAAAAATCTGCAGGGCAGAACCATGGCACTACATAACTGAAGGACTCAAGCTGAAAAATGGGGTGTTAGGGGTTGAATTGTGCCTCCCCACAAAATTCGTTTGTTGAAGCCCTAGCACTCCAGAATGTGAACTTATTTGGAAATAGGGTCATTGCAGATATAATTAGTTAAGATGAAGTCATGCCGGAGTAGGGCAAGCCCCTAATTCAATGTGATCGTGTCCTCCTAAAAAAGGGAAGTTACCACACACACACACACACACACACACACACACAGGCAGGACACAATGTGAAGATGAAGGCAGATGATGGAGTGATGGTTCTTCAAGCCAATGACTAATATCAAAGAGTGCCAGAAAATGACCTAAAGCGAGGAGAGAGGCATGGAACAGATTCTCCCTCCCAGGCCTCAGAGTGAACCAACCCTAGGGACACCTTGATCTCAGCTTTCTGGCTTCCAGAGCTGGGAGGCGACATGTCTGTGTTGTTTAAGCCACCCAGTCTGTGGTACTCTGTTACAGAAGGCTTAGCAAACTAAGGCGGGAGGGAAAGGGCTAGGGAGGCAGTTCAAGAAAGCACCCGAAGGTCGTACCTTGTCAGTGGAGATCGCAAGATTGAGAGTTAGAAATCACAAGATTGAGAGTTTTTAGGGGACTAAGGTATGCTGTAGCCCTGAAGTGAAGAGGGATCATGATCTGTTGAAGGAATGGAAAGAAGTCGGTTGGCTGCTGTTTAGCGTAAGTGAAACAGCAGCTTGGAATGAGCTGGGTAGGTGAGGCAGAAGCCAGTCATGTAGGGCCTGGCAGGCCATCAAGATGGGGGTCCCTTAAGAGCAATGGGAAGCCGCTGGCATGTATTAAGCAAAGGAGTGACATGATTACATTTGCTTTTTTTCAAAAAGGTCACTCTGGCTGCAGTGTGGAAACCAGAAAGGAGTAATTATGAATGTGGGGAGATCAGTTCTGAGGACAAAGATGATGGACTGGGGTTGAGGGAGGGAAATTGATGAGCTCTACAAACACTTAAAGCTGACCACACAAGATTCATTATGGTTAGTGAGGCAGAGTCGAGTCCTCAGTGCAAGGGAGGGAGGGGGTTATCATTCACATCATTCACTGTGAAGGGCAATCCAGAGGAAGACCTAGTGTGGGTGGGAGGTAGAAGGGAAATACAAATTTGATTTGCAGCAGATTGAGTTTGGGACACCTTAGAGACAGGCCAGTGCAGATGTGGAGTTATATAGGGAGCTTGAGAGGAGAGGTCTGTGCTGGAGATTTTGAGGGATAATCCCAGAGTGGAGTATGAGTGAAGCCAAGGTCACGGGCAAGGTCAGGAGTGAGAAGAGAAGCGCCAACAACTGCAGACTCCAGGAGTTCCAGTGGTGAGGCTGGTGGCCAGGGAGACTGGATAACGATGGCTCAAGAAGGAGGAGGAAAGCCACCAGGACAGGATGCTGCAGTAGTGTGAGCCCCACTCCCACCGTAGTCCAACGCTGAAGGCGCATGCTAATTTACTTTAAAATGGTTTTGTGTGGCTATGATTTGTTATATTACTAAGGGGCAGATTTGGAAGTCAACTTGGCTTTCGAGGTGACCAGGATCAAAAGAGAGAGTGGAACTGCGGAAGAGAGATACTAGATATTCAGCACTGGTAATAGGGTGCATGACCTGGGTCCCCCACTACTTCCCTGTAGTGCCATTTCTATGTCCCTGGTCCTGGACTGGAGAGCACCCAGCAGTCCTTTCTGCTGGAGCAGCTCAGAGTACACCTGGTAAGGAAGAGAAGAAGGGCAAAGGATACGGAGACAGAGAAGAGACAGCAAGGGGAAGAGCTCATCTTTATGTTAGACTTGTTCCAGGTAGCAATTTGCATTTGTGGTGGGAAGCGGTTTTTGGTTCCATTCTCACCTCAGAGGAGGAAGTGGGCCTTTTAACATAGCTTAGCAAAGATGTAATGAGAGGTGATCGATCTTAGTAAGAGGACTTTCTCTGTTCCCCCGGGTTTTAACTGTGCAGGACATGAAGATGCGAAGCAAATGGGACCTGCTGGCACAAGAGGCAGCCTCTGGTCGAGTCAGAACACTGAAAGGAAAGGAGGAGAGGAAGGGAAGGGAGGCCAAAAGAGAGGGGCCCCTCAAGGCGCCTATGGGAGGAAGAATTAGCAATGACTGAAGGGGAATTTCTGGAAGTTGGGGAGAACAAGTGTTTGTGCCATCCACTGGACAGGGAGAGTGTTCAGAATTTGGCTCTTTGCCATTAGGCCTTTGCAGCCATCACTGCACACCATGCCCAAGGTTATAAATACGTCATCTCATTCAATCCTCGTGTGAACCCTGTGGATAATTATGATGAGTCCCCATTTCAGACAGGTTGCTGGCTTGTCTAAGGTTGCACAGCTAGAAAGTGGCATCTCCAGGATTCCAGCGCAAGCGTGTCCAGCTCCAAATCCAAAGCTCATTTCTGCACTATATGTTCTCCAAAATGCTTTATCATCAGGCTTTTCAGGGATTAAAAAAAGGAAAAGAAATTCCTGGCCCATTCCCTAGAGATAGAGATTCAACAGGTCTGGGATATGTCCTGGAAATATGTATTTTCAAAACTTTCCCCAGGATCCTGAAGATTTTTTTTCTAGGTTGGGGGCCACTGACTTCCACAATGCCTCCAGTGAATAAAGGAATGACATCAAAGTAGACTACTGAGGATATTTTGTGGAATACTATTGAAAAACTGAGTCTGAAAAAGCCAAGAATTTGTAGCTTTAAAACTCATTTATCCATAAGTTCATAGACCAAGTTTTTGCTTTGATAGTGTAAATATGTAATTAATCACAGATCTCTTACTTCTAGTTTCAACCTTTCTATTTAAACACACAATCCTTTTCTTTTATTATCATTCTTTAAGTTCTGGGATACATGTGCAGAATGTGCAGGTTTGCTACATAGGTGTACATGTGCCATAGTGGTTTGCTGCTCCCATCAACATCTACATTATCAAGTCAGAACACTTCAGGAAAAGGGGAAGGAAGGAGATTTTGAGCAATAATCCCAGAGCAGAGCATGAGTGAAGCCAAGGTCATGGGCAAGGTCAGGAGTGATAGTATAAATACGTAGTTAATCACAGATCTACATTAGGTATTTCTACCTACATCATCTACATTAGGTATTTTTTCTAATGCTATCCCTCCCCTAGCCCTCCTCCCCTTGACAGGCCCTGGTGTGTGATGTTCCCCTCCCTGTGTCCATATGTTCTCATTGTTCAACTCCCACTTATGAATGAGAACATGCAGTATTTGGTTTTCTGTTCCTCTGTTAGTTTGAGGAGAATGATGCTTTCCAGCTTCATCTATGTCCCTGCAAAGGACGTGAACTCATTCATTTTTATGGCTGCATAGCATTCCATGGTGTATATGTGCCGTATTTTCTTTATCCAGTCTATCCCTGATGGACCGTTGGGTTGTTTCCAAGTCTTTGCTATTGTGAACAGTGCTGCAATAAACATACTTGTGCATGCATCTTTATAGTAGAATAATTTATAATCCTTTGGGGATATACCCAGTAATGGAATTGCTGGGTGAAATGATATTTCTAGTTCTAGATCCTTGAGGAATTGCCACCCTGTCTTCCACAATGGTTGAACTAATTTACACTCCTACCAACAGTGTAAAAGCGTTCTTATTTCTCCACATCCTGTTGGTTCCTGACTTTTTAATGATCACTGTTCTAACTAGCATGAGATGCTATCTCACTGTGGTTTTGATTTGCATTTCCCTAATGACCAGTGACAGTGAGCTTTTTATCACATGTTCGTTGATCTCATAAATGTCTTCTTTAGAGAAGTGTCTGTTCATATCCTTTGCCCACTTTTTGATGGGGTTGTTTTTTTATTGTAAATTTGTTTAAGTTCTTTGTAGATTCTGGATATTAGCCCTTTGTCAGATGGATAGATTGCAAATTTTTTCTCCCATTCTATAGGTTGCCTGTTCACTCTGATGCTAGTTTCTTTTACTGTGCAGAAGTTGTTTTGTTTAATTAGATCCCATTTGTCAATTTTGGCCTTTGTTGCCATTGCTTTTGGTGTTTTAGTCATGAAGTCTTTGCCCATGCCTATGTCCTGAATGGTATTGC